TTAAGATTATTTTACATTTTAATTTATGTTTTATACGATGTGTTAAAAACAAACTTATAACAATTTCATTTTTTTTTCAAAATCAGTTTTAACCAAGATATAACCTTTTTTTTTAACCGGTTTATCAATACAAAAACATATTAAACTAGATTTAAGACAATTTAGAAGGATTATCAAGCTCAAGAAGTGTGATGATATTGTTTCTCAAGCTATATTAGAAGCAATCCAACTGATCTTAGCGCAAGGTTTGAACATTGAACTTCCTCTATGGAATTTTGTATCCCAATTATTACGCTCCCATCATGGGGAGCAATGTCGATCACATTAGATGATATGATACTAAAATCACTAGCATTCATGTACTATTTAGTCTGATCATTGACTAACTTAAATGATATAAACTCAAGGATAAATGAAAATGTTTTGAAAATTGAATTTTCCTTTTACAGTATTACACATTCAAACACTCGAGAATTTGTGTTATGTATTAAACCATCAACCGATTTTGACTACCTAACGATAGGGCCAATGGGTGTAGCTACGACAGAGGCCGCACCACTCCTTGCCACATCATCACAAACACTTCCCCTCCATCGTGGTGGGGGTGTGGTGGAGGCTGCACTGTGCTCGCCAACTTCTTTCAATTTTCATTCCAATTGACCGTTGAACGGTCAGGTTTAAAAAAAAATGTTTCTTTTTCTTTCCTTTTCAACTTTTTAACATTCCTATTTAAACCTCAAACCTTTACAATTTTCTTTTTTATCTTTCTACTACATTTCCTATCAAAAAAATTAAAAAATGTCATCGTTCGATTCTTCTGAAGACTTTGATGTTGTTGTCGCAACTACTAAATTGGCGGAGTAAACGTATGAAGCTGCATGGAGTAGCACAGTCGGAAGTGCTGAACGAAGAACCCAAAGATATGTTTATAGAAATCGTGAAGAAACAAACCAACGCTTGATACAAGACTACTTTCAAAAGAATGCTACTTTTCAAGGGTACTACTTCCGAAGGCGTTTCAGAATGTTCAAACTTTGTGCGAACGTATAGTCGAAGATCTAACGAGGGTGTGATTTTTCCAACAACATCCTGATGCTAGAGGTACACTCGGTTTCACTCATTTACAAAAATGCACAATTGCACTTCGTCAATTAGAATATAGCATCATGCCTGATGCGTTGGATGAGAGTTTTAGGATGTCCGCTTGGATTACACGAGATAATCTCCATTATTTTTGCAAAACTATTATTCAGCTTTATGAGCCAAAATATTTACGTAGGCCTATACATAATGACATCATCAAATTGCATTCTCCTCATGCTAGCGTACATGAATTTCCTGGAATGTTAGGAAGTTTAGATTGTCTACATTGGACATTAGAAAGTTGTCTTACCTCACATCATGGTCAATGCAATTTCCCCGAGGTGATCATGGTCATCCAACGATCATACTTGAAGCAGTGACATCATAAGAACTGTGTATTTGGCAAAAAAAATTTGGTTCTCTTGGTTCGCTTAACAACATTAATGTTCTTAATCATTTACCTATATTTTATCGTTCTTAATCGTTCCCTTATGGAATATCTGTAGACGTTTCTATGTTTTTTTATGCGTTCCCCCACGTTTAACGCGGGTCATAATATATATATATATATATATATATATATATATATATATATATATATATATATATATATATATATATATATCAATTCATAAATACAAAGAAATATGAGTTCTCATATCTTCATGTTTTAATTAGAATAACAACTAAAAAGTCTTAGAATTATTAAACTAATATATTGATCGACAAATTTCTTGATACATATCGTTTGATGTGCACGTGATACATACATTAAAACTTAAAAATGAATACTAACTTCTCATTCCTTGTACTTGTACTGTTACCATTTGTTTCCTATAGCAACTTGCTAGGGGTGGACATCTTTTAATCCTTTTAGTGGTTTCAAAAAAAATACTATCAGAAGCGAGTGAGGCAACGGCCAAATGTCCACAAATTCAACTTATATTCATGTATAGTACATATTAGTTAAAAGTTTTGGTATATACCAAATACCAATATATACCAACCAAATTTGTTGGTAGCCAAATTAATTGGTGCCAAGTACACTTGGTACAATACTGGTAGCTAAAATCTTATACCAATTATAATTGGTATGGTACACGGTTTGAAGAAAAAAAACTTGGTACCGTACCAATTCCACCCCTACTAATTACAATAGCAATATTTAACGTTATTTAAATAATATCACCGTTGAAACACGAATTAACATTTATTCATCATCTAACATCTCCTGCAATCGTTTGAAGAATTGTAATTGTTTGAATAAGTGATTCGTATATAATAAGTATTTTTCGTATACAACAAAATATATATTAAAATGTTTTATCGTACAACTCTATAAGACATAATTTGTTGTGTATTGAGAATTGTTGTTATGTTCTCAATTTTTTTGCATTTTTCTCAAACTATAGTAATTTTTGAATTCAGATGATATATTTTCTGAAAATTTAAAATTATTTTATAATTTAATTTATAAGGTTAGATATTAAAGAATACAAAATACTTGCAACATTTTTATAAATACTTACAATACATTTCGTAACCTTACATTTTAATAAAATCATCATCTTATGTAAATGTTATGTAAGTAGTATAAGATATTATATGGAATAGTAAAAAAAAAAAAAGGGGTTGTTATATGTAAAATATATTTAATAGGTAATAATGTATTAAACTAATTAAAGGGTTACAAAACTCTAATAAATAAATGAGTTAACTATAAATTTGGAGGTTATGTTCTACGGATAATGAAAATATAGAATCAAATATTAACTATTGAATCAAAAACCATATGAAAATAATTATGTTAATTTTTAGAAATTTTGTGTACTCATAATTGAAGATACAAATGTTGTTAAGGTTAAATGGAGTGATTTCGGTACCATCTTGGCATACTATGACTCACCTAGATAAACACCGGCGGCCACTTTGGCATGTCGAACTCGGTAAACAATTTGGTGAATCGGAGTAGAGGAGAGAGAAAAGGTTTTTACCACTTTCAAAAAATAATTCACTATTAGAAAACAAACTATTTCTTTTCAAAAAAAAATTTTAATTGTAAACCCTTTTCAACCAAAATAAATACAAACATCCCTCTTCATTTTTGACTAATATCAAACCTTTACTAATCATCTCTTTCAAACATTCAACAATCATAAACTTCTCTCAAAACGACTTCTTCAAACAATTGTCCATAGACACCGACTGAAGAGGTGGCTTTGGCCAGTGCATTGACTGATGTACAGGGGGACCCGATGGTTGATATCTACGATCATGGTCTTCTAACAATTCTACAATGAAATGGGTTAGGCTGCTACCGAAACAAAGAAAATCTAGGCACAAAACCCAAATGGCAGTGCACTTTAATGTTGTGTTTAACACTCCACAATGAAACGTAATTAGCCAAATGGTAAAAATGATGAAATGTTGTTGAAGAATGCTTTTGCAATTTTCCACCAAGAGAAACATTTACCTTTCTGGTATCTAGAGTTTTGACAAATTGTCAGGAAAACGTAAAATAACGCTAATATATGGATGGAAGTAGTATTACTTTTATGTTTTATGTTTTCTATATACTAAGTTCAAGTATCATATCTTTTATTGTCATCTTGTCATTTTAATGAAAATTTTGGTTTTATATTATTTATAATGTTTTAAATAATCAAAATTAAAAACAAATGTAACATTCCGCTAGCTTTAATGCCTTAAATTTGAGATGTGGACCTTCGCCATGTTACTTTTGCATTTTCAAAGACACATAATTCTACATTGAAACTACAACTTTTTCGACTAAGGGACCTGATACTTTCTTTCTTAGTCATCTACATCTAGATTTTTCCTATATTCTTTGTTAACACTAGCTTCAGTTTCATTATGAAAAAAAACTGAAATAGAGATGCCACCAAGTAAAGGAAATCACATGTTATTCTTGATGAAGATTTCATCATTTCTTTGAATTGAGAGTTGTGTCGATGCCTTCATCAATTAAATTAGGAGAAAAGTTGTTTTGGAGCTTTATAGTAGCAAGATTTCGTGGAGACGATTTGGGTTTTAGAAAAAGATAAATTAAGTATTTTTCTATTTTTTTTCCTATAAATCATCATATTCATTAACATGTGTGATATTAATATATTAAAATATCATTAAATGAACGTTAAATGTTACATATGTCATAATTTAATTTGGTAGGAGACTTTGTAGGAAAAAAAAGTAGGAATATATATATATATATATATATATATATATATATATATATATATATATATATATATATATATATAAAAGTTGGTTCACATATGAAATCTAGCAATTTATCCATTTTCCGTAAAGGAATAGAATGAAACCAAAATTCCATGTTCGGTTTTGAATTAGAGATGTTAAAAATGATGAATCGGCATCGACTATAACCCCTAGCCTTCCAGGCTAGCGATGTGGGTTCGATTCCCACTACGAGAGTAGCCTCTCTTATGGATTTATTCTATATATATATATATATATATATATATATATATATATATATATATATATATATATATATATATATATATATATATATATATTATTAAATATTCTAATAAAGAGGACAAAGGTGTTCTAAACCTTTGATATATGTTCAAATCTTATTGGACACGATATAATAATTTGAGAGTAATTAAATCCATATTTCTTTTGTTTACTCTATATCAATTTTTGAGAGTTATTAAATCCATAGTTTATTTGTTTACTCTAAATCAATTGGTGAAATGATACAAATATATTTTGTATTTTTTTTTATAGAATACTAATATAAGGTTGATATTTTTGGCCATCCGAAATTCCAGCTATTCCTTACGTCTGCAATGTGTCACATAAAACATAAATCACAAAAAAACAAAAACAAATCAAATCCCAGGTCTCTGAAATAAATAAAAAAATATCTAGATGAAGAAAAACACAAAAACACACGCATGGTATATTTCTGGTCTTCAGTCTGAACTTCCCATTTTTATTGCCGAGTCCACTGCTTCATTTCTTCATAAATGTCCACTCCATCAACCGGAATCTCCTTTGATTCAGATCGCATCACATCCGACCACCGCCACCACCACCAATCGGAATTCATGGACTCCACCAGACACAACAGGTCGTCGTCATCACATTCGCCACCACCAAACACCATTCATTTCCCAGTCAACTACCTTAACCCTGACAAGTCTGATCATAAACGGATTAACGAAGTTGATTTTTTCAAGGATACGAAACACTATCCATCGAAGTCGATCAATTATGATCTTAATTGTAAGGAGGAGATTACTACACCTGCTATCGATTTGGATTTTAATGTCAATGTAAGATATGATGATCGTATTTTATTTTATTTTACTTTTTTCTATGAATTATGTTTCTTCTGTACTTTGTTGTAATCTATCGTTGACTCTATAGACTCGTTTGAATCTTCTCACTGGAAACACAAGCAGCGACCAATCTGTAATCGACGATTGCATCTCTCCTAGTTATGAAAATAAACGAGCTAACCATGAGGTGCGCATATTATACATACTTCTAAGAGCTCAATATGCATGATTTTAATTTGTCATGAGTCGAAATCTGAATTTTGTTGTAATCAAGCTATATCTTCGATAAGTACAGTTAGTTAGTGTTCAAGCGAAATTGAAGAGGATGAATGGCGAGAATCAACGGCTGAGAGAGGCGTTGAATCAAGTGATCCACAATTACAATGCACTGGAGAATCATCTCGCGATGATGATACACCAAAAACAAGGAGGTGAAAACCCTAATGGAGAAGGATCTAGAAAGCAGGTTATGGATCTGGGTTTAGCACATCCATCGAAAGCTGAAACCGATAAGAATTTGCAGTTGTCAACGTCAGAAGAAAGGAACCACGATGAACAATCGACGCGACCAATTCTTAACAACCAGAACACTGGAAATATAGATCAATCTTCTGATGAAGCACCAATTCGGAAAGCTAGGGTTTCTGTTCGTGCTCGATCAGAAGCTTCCGTGGTACGTAATTAATAAACAATATTAGAGATTCAGTTTTAATTTTCAATTCTCGGAATGACGACGTAATTCATTGAAGAATTTATTTCTTTGGTTTGCTTGTTAGATCGCAGATGGATGTCAATGGCGGAAATACGGTCAAAAAATCGCAAAAGGAAACCCATGTCCACGAGCATATTACCGTTGCACCATGGCAGTTGGTTGTCTCGTTAGAAAACAAGTAAGCAATTTCATTCTTATTTCTCAAAAAACGATCGTATCTGTGTTCGAATTTTCATGCATGTTTGATGAACAGGTGCAAAGATGTGCACAAGATAGATCGATCCTGATCACCACTTACGAAGGAAATCACAACCATCCTCTCCCGCCTGCCGCCATGGCAATGGCCTCCACCACCTCTTCCGCCGCCGGAATGCTACTTTCCGGGTCCATGCCAAGCTCCGACGGCTATTTAGGAAGAAATCTCCTCCCTTTCTCTTCTACAATGGCCACCATCTCAGCATCCGCCCCGCATCCGACCATCACTCTAGATCTCACTCAATCTCAAAACCCGTTACAGTTTCAACGGAGCCCCGGTCAGTTCCAAGAACCTTTCTCTAACCCGACCCACCTGCCCCATATTTTCGGGCAGTCTTTATACAACCACTCCAAATTCTCAGGTCTTCAAATGTCTGAAAACATGGAAACCAGCTCCCAACCAGGGCAACTGCTGCCACCTGCCGCGTTGACCGATACTGTTACAGCCCTCACGGCGGATCCAAATTTTACGGCCGCCCTAGCAGCGGCGATATCGTCTATTATTGGTGGCGGCGCCGGCGGGTCTCGTGAGAACAACAATGATGAAAATGTCAATGCCACCACCAGCAACAACAATGGTCATGGTAACGATAAAGTCAGCAATTCAGGTTTTCAAGGAAATTGAAATCCATGAGCTGGTTTTATTCAATTCTTTTTGTAGTTATCTTCCTTATTAATACACATGTTCCATATTTTATAAAGTATCTACTATTTAATGATAAAATAAATCACTTATTTAATTTAATGATACAATTAACAAGACACATGCGATGATTCAACCTAATTGATCGACGTGATAAGTTGGTTGTCGGGTGTAAACTTAACCACGATTTTGTTTCTAGCTTATGAGTCAACTATATTATTTATTGTGTTCTTTAATGATAATTTTTATAACATTTTATATTTAATATGGCCATTAGATTGGTAAAATAGAGTTATTAATTTGTACGTTTTTAGGCAAATATATAGGTCTTCTATTAAAGCGGTGATATTCATAAAACACTGATAACGACATGAAATGAATCCAAATCATTCTTGAAAGACTTTAAAACGATATCCTTGGCCGTCGACTTTGATACGGTGGCACCTCGATCTTGAGATACAAGTTGAAGTCAACTATATGATATTAGATTCATAGTTTTTATCTATAATAATAATATCATATCTCAATTGTGAAACATGGATTCCAAAAACAACACGATAACAATATTAAATACATAATGTTAACATATGTGTACAAAATGTATTTATGTATTCTCGTGTTTTATATTGACCCATAAGGTTCTTAGCCCATTGTCTTGCGTAGTGGCCTTTGTACTGTGTATATATATATTATTTGATAACGTATGTCTATTACTAAGGTTGTTGGGTATGAGCAATACGTTACTGTATGTTATCACATCCAAAAAATATGTTGGGTGTGAGCAATATGTTATCACATCCAAAAAATATTATATTATCATCCTAGTCATACATAGGTGTTATAACACCCAATGTGAAAATGGACAACATCAAATAACATATACCAACACCTCTTATTATTTTCTATTTAATTTTTTAATTTTATTTGTTGATGTTTTTAGTTTCTATATTTCCAATTTCTTTTTTATTTATGTTATAATATTTATAAGTATCATATAAATTAAATCATAAATTAAAAATAACATTTAAAAAGTAAAAAATAAAATTATAAATCCTACATTAAAAACAACATAAAAAAATTACAGCTAAGGATAAAAACATTTAAAAACCTAAAATCTATAAAAAGACGAAAAAAATTACATTTTTGATCTAAATTATTCATCTTCAGTGTTGTCGTAGATATGATCTGTCAAGTCTTTTCGAAGTTGTTTGTGTTTTCGTTGGTCTTGAATATCAACAACTTTATGTAAATATTCAGTTGTCCTTTATTGAAATGGAATGTGTGCAGGTTCCGTAGGCAAATACTCTGCAATGTTTCATCATTTATCTCCAATCACCATTTTATGCATAATGATAAATGCATACATAATATCTCGTAGAGTGTCTAAGTCATATGGTCGTGTCGCATGTTAAACTATGTGTCATTTTACTTTCAGAACTCCGAAAGCACATTCCACGTCCTTACGTGCTCCTTTTTGTCTTCTCTTGAAAAATTTATCTCTTGGTTCCATCGGGTGTCGAAACGCCTTCACAAACGTGGAATGTGGTGGGTATATTCCATCCATGAGGTAATACCCGAACTTATACGCATGGTCATTTACTGTGAAAGGATCATCCGATGTCTTTCCTGTCAAAAGATCCTAAAATATTTGTGACTGATCAAGAACGTTTACGTCATTGTTATTACCCGCAACACCAAAAAAAGTATGTCAAATCCATAAGTCTTATGACACAACAACCTTTAATACTAACGAAGGTCATGCGAGATGACCACTCGTGTATTGACCTTTCCATGCCATAGGATAATTTCTTCATATCCACTTTGTGCAATCAATGCTTCCAGACATACCTAGAAAACCATGACCTTCTTCGTATGTCGCATATAGTTGTTGCATGTCATTCAATGAAGGTTTGCGCAAGTATTTGTCACCGAAGGTTTCGATAACACCTCTCGCCAATCTATATATACAAACTTTATCGTGTAGTTTACTCTAACATTCTCATATAGTTATCAATAGAATTGGGCGACTCCCCTAACGCCATAAACTTGATTGCAACAACACATTTTTGCAACCCTGTGAAATCTTATTACCTCTCGCATCATACCTCATTTGGAAATATTCATACCTAAATAAACATTTAATTTTGAAAACAATTATTTAATAATCTAAAGAACATATATTTAATTTTTAAAACAATTATTTAATAATCTAACGAACATATATTTAGTTTTTAAAACAATTGTAATTATGGTACCTGCTTTCCATTGCATTGACTATTCATTGAAACATATTTTTCCGCAAACGAAACATTCTTTTAAAATAACTAGGTTGGTAGACATAATTATCCGCAAAATAATCGTGTAATAGACGTCTATTCTCTTATTCACGATCTTTGTTCAACGCTCCACGTCTGGTCAGTAATGAAGCTGACTCTGGGGGTAGCATGTTTGTAACATATCGGTACAACATACCTATGATGTCACAACTAGAAATTTTGTGTCTTGTAATCACTACACTCAAGTAAAATGTAGAATCAAAAACTTAAGAGCATGTATGATGCTTACTCTATGACAACAAAACTTCAATCCAACACACCATACAAGTACTACAAATAGTCAACAAGCAATTGGAAACCCTAGAAGTTCTTGTTAGGTCCATTTTGGGCTAGGACTTCCTTATTGGACTCAATGGACCAATAAGCTTCCAATTTGACTATCATGGGATTAGAACCTTTAAATGGGCTCTAATTGGATCCACATTCATTTATTTCAACATTTTGGGCCATATTGGGCCTCAAATGAATTAAATTAAATACTATGAACCATAATTAACCTAAACTAGCCCAACAAAGTATAAAAATCTCACTTATATTTTATAGGACCAACAATCATTCAACTTAACTCCTATATGGGCTTAGGGGCAATAAAGCCCAAAAATCTCTTTTCCCCTCTCCAATCTCAGCCCAAGCCCAAAGAAAAGAAAGAGTTGACCTTTGTTGCCACCTCACAATTATTCAAGGGTCTTCCATGCATCTTGTCCCATATATCCATGCATACATCACTTCAAGCTCTCTCTTCTTCTCCCTCTTTTCTCATTCTCGGCCGAACACACACACATACACTCACAAAAATTCATTTCATCCTTCTAAGTTTTGAAGAACATCTCCTCCCTCCCTCTTCTAAATTTTCAAGATTTAAGGTCATTCCAAGGAGATTTTTCACAAGGACTACCATCCAAGGTAATTTTATACTTAAATCTATGATCTAGGTTCCTTGATTTATCAAACCTCTCATCTTAACTCATAAAAATTTATGGTCTAACTCCCTAGAACCATCTAAGTCCGAAAATCTCCTCAAGAAGTTGCTAGGGCCGAAAACAACATCAAACTTCTTCCATTCTCCTCCAAAACCGAAACCACACCCAAAGGTGAGCTTCATACCCCCTATTTTTCGGTTTTTATAAGTTTTGTGGGAGGGGGGGAATACAAGCAAATGTGTAGATCTATGAGTATATGTATGCTTTGTATGATTTCTATGTTTGTTTACATGTTCTTATGTGATTATGGTGTTGAAACTAGTCAAAAAGTCCTTAAAATCGAGATTTGCATTAGGATGTATGAAACAAGTGTTAAACATATTATTACACACAAATCATTTCTAGAAAAATAACCAAGTTGGTTAATATGAACTCATTGGGCTAAAAATCCCATTTTTAGACTCAAAATGTTAAAAATATAAGGTTAAAGGGCCCAAAATGACAAAATACAAATTCTGATGGATGAAATGAGTCAAAACAGTTTCAATAAGGTATTTTTCTGGAAATATTCTCTTTGAAGGATTAAATGTGAAATTTTTAAGCATAATGGGCCAAAAATGAATTTTTCGGTCCAATAAAGCCCAATACGCAAGATTTTCAAATTAGAGGGGCTGAAACTGTGATTTTCTGTAAAACAGGGGACTACTAATGCTCCAAGTCCAATTCAAGGGTTAAAAATGCTTTTCATATTTAAAAGGGACCAAAAATGCAAAAAATTTCTATTTTGGGCCAAAAGTGTAAAAACTGCGAATATAAGGGTTTCAGCCGAGAAAAAATTCATTTGGTGGACTAAAACTGTTTTTCAAATAACTTTGAGCTGAAAAATAACTTTTCTACAAGTTTTGATACTAAAGTGTCAAGAAAAATGGTTTGAGGACTAAAATAGAACTTTATTTTATACAAAGGGTTAAATGTGTAAATTATCTAAAAGAAAGGGGCTGCAATAATGAAACATCCTAATGTTTTAAACAATAAATCCGTCATGATGAAATACTAGCACCTCGACTATTGGCAAATTATAATACACCTTCAACACCAAAAATCGTATCCAAACGAATTGATTCGGTCTCGAATCAATAATGAATCCGAAATTACTAACACGGCGAAACTTCAATACACACGCGGAAATTTCGGGAAGTCAATACACACGTGAGAATACACCAGACGTCGATACACCATCTTTGGGCCCAAAAGTTTCAAATCGTGTTTGTCGGGCCTAGCTAGCCCAATGACGTGATCTTTAGGCCCGAAGGAAACTCGCTTACATGTAGTTGGGTCTTATATGACCTAATTTCGTGTAAAAGGACTTTTACAGGCTTTGTGCTGTTGGACCCCAAGGGCCCTCTGGTGCCGCTAGTAAAGTCGAGAATTCACCAAATGCGAGTCGGGCTAAGGGCCCTTCGCATTCACGATAGTCTTGAATGACTTACGGAAAATATCGGGGCTTCGCACCCTCTTTTCCTCCTTGGTTGTGGGGCTACACGAAGTCCGGGTGTTTGGATTAAGTGAATAGTGCGAGCGACGCCTAAGGGATCGTTTGTATGGTTGTAAACTAGTCATTTTCATTAATGTGTGTTTATAACAATTCACAACCCCTAATTAATCCAACGTCACCGGGACTCAACGAATACACCTGTCGTAACGAAATAACAAGACATAAATCATTTGATGCAAAGTATTAGGAAAACATCGGGTTTTCCTAGGATTTTCAATTAATACACCTACGAGTTACATACCGAGTTTTAAAAACCGTACTTTTACATTTATAGAAACAAACAAACATACTTACGGATCTTCACACTTTTTATACTAAGTTCTTTTCAGAAAATATCGGATTTTCTGGTGATTTTCAAAGCAATACAAACCACTATATTTCAAACATTACTTATGAACTCACCAACATTTCATATGTTGACGTTTTTCAAAATACTTGTATTCTCAGGTAACAGGTAAATCTAAAAGGAAAAATATACTCAGTAACGTCTTGCTGTTGTCTTAATTAGTACCGAACAATTTACTTTTGAGCATGTAATATTATGGATCAATGTACTGAATGTAAACGCTACCAGTTGTAATATTCCAATGCTTGGTATTGTATGATGTTATGTTTCATGTATATTCATTGTGATGATATTCAATTGAGTCACAATAGCCCTCGGGCGTTTCCGCCGTCTGGTTCGGGGGTGTGACATATGAACATATTATCCTCATCGATATCATGATTATATGGATGAAACGGATCAAATGATCCATTTTTTTTAATTAAATAGAGTACTAGAAAAGAAAATGAAATTGAAAGAAATAGGAATTGTTGAAAGAATTTGTTGAGTTTTGTAGGTAAAATGGAGACAAAAATGTTGTGTATTTATATTAATGTAGATTTCTTTTAAAAATATTGGTGACCGTTTGCAAAAGGTCGTAAATGTGACCATTCCAATCAAATGTGTTGTTTCCTCCCGTTACCACCATAATATGTGTTACCATAACACCAAAAAATGCAAGGGGTGTAGAGGTCGTTATGACGCCGTTTTTTGACGTCCATGTCTGATTAACGGGAACACCCGTTTCCCATTGTGAGTGGTATAATATCTGATCATCCGTATCTTTGATCATTCATCTCGACCGCCCAATTATAATAAATGGCGGAGATTATTCTACATCCATAGTGTCAGCTATAACGTATGATCACTTGGATGAGCTGAAGAAAAAAATTGTCGGCTACACCTAATGAACATGAATAGCTATGTATCGGCTCCATCATGAAAACTTGGATATAAAAAACTATTTCATAACCTCTAGTACATATGGTTTTGAAACGCAATGCTACAACCTCTCAAGTATGGAACAATCTTGAAAAATTGTTTCATGATAATAAAGATGAAAAGGTCATTCAACTTGTTAGCAAGCTTCAAACCATCTCCATTGTTGATTCTTCTATAATTGACTAGCGTACCAAAATCAAAGCCATTTACGGTCTATCCCCGAAATATAACTATATTTCAAGTCTCATGCGCCACCGGCCACCGCTCCTAACTTTTCTCGAGATCTACACGATGTACCATTTTAAGAGCAATAAATGTGTCTAAGTATGTCAATTAATCAACATAATATAATTACTAAAATTCTAAAATGTCTAAATCTATCAAATGACCTATTCATTTTAACCATTTTAACCGGAAACTATCAAGTCGGAAGCCCCCTTATGGAAAATTTATGGATCCCCTTCCGCTCCACTCTCTATTATATTAACTTATGAATTTCATGAACCAAAATATTAATAAAAAAAATTCATTCAGTTTGTCATAATTATTAAAAATAAATTTACTTACATAACTTAGAGAAATCAAGCTAGCCTATTAAACCATAGGAAAGATGACACATTAGCCCAACAATATATTTCAAATTTTTCCATTTGTTTCTTAACTTATTTTCATGCTTTATAAGGGAATAAACTTGTTTTTGTCGGGTCTAATTGGTCATTTTGGAAAAAATGAAGGGTTGAATGGGTAAGTCGGTGACTTCTTTTCCACCTCATTTAAGGCGTCGACGTGTAATTGTTGACTATGTCAAATGAGACAATATCGATACTTTAATCATCCTTTCTCCTTTGACTCGACTGTATCTATTTCCTTCCTTCATTTACTTTCCTCAAACATGGATGTTTACATCATTATGGATGTGCACTTCCAAGGTATCTTTTCCAAGTACCCTATACGATCCACCGAAGATATTATTTAGAGGGTGGTGAACATTGATTTCACAAGCATGGAAAAGGACGAGTGCTACACGCTCATGGAAAGATTCAAAAGAGAAAATTGTGAAAATCTCCATTACTACCTTCCTAGTATTGATTTTCCAATAGGTTTGAGGTTAATTAGCAATGAACTTGATTACGCCAAATTTATAGCCATTGCTTATGAACGTGGTGTTGAAATCCCAATGTATGTAGACCATTTTGGTAAAACTAACATGTATGAGTGGTTGGATGAAGAAATAGAAGAAGTAGTAGATAATACAAAAGAAGAAGTAGCTAATGATATACATGATGATGCTGAAACATGTGAGATAGGACATTAAGATGAAAACATCAATCCTTGTTTTTTAAAAAAGAATAATACCTCAGATTGTGAGATGGGTAAGGATATAGGTCATCCTGAACCTGTTGATGCTGACATGGTTGAGAATGAAGCTTAAGAAGTTGATGTTGTTGATCATTTGCCATAAATTTTCAATGAAGATCAACACTGGAATGAGCAGCAACTTGTGTTAGGTATGAGGTTTCAGAATCCTAAATAAAGCAAGCACATGCTATGTAATTATGTAGTTACAAGTGGTTATCAACTATATTTTATCAAAAATGATAGTAGAAGGCTATTAGTTAAATGTTGTGATGGTAACTATACTTTTAGGATTTAGGGGTCACAAATGGTGATGATCGGTTTTTCCAGATCAAGTCTCTTAAAAGTGAGCATAATTGTTATAGGAAATTCAAATTTGGCTCAATTGTCACTTAATGATAGATAGAAATTCATTTCACTCAATAATTTGTAAGCAACCAGAAAATGATCGCCTGAATTATATAGAGAGACCAATGACGATCCTAGACAGGAGGACGAAGACTCTGCGAAACAAGGTGGTGGATCTGGTATGGTGCAGTGGTAACACCGAAATGGTTCTAAATGGATGTGGGAGCCTAAGAACGAGATGAGGAATCATTATCTAGAGTTATTCATGGCAGAAGACTTTAAGGATGAAGTCTAATTCAAGTAGGGGAAGAATTCTAACACCCGATTTAAGGTACTTTTCATTTTTTAACATTGGTGTATAAATAGTTTGCAAATTCGGTCCCTAGGGGACATTGTTTCCATTTTTGGAAAAGAGGGAGTACGTTGGGCATACTCCTCATATATTGGGTGTACGCACCCAGGGGACAAACCCGAATTTTTAGGGTTTGGACACTATTTAAGCAACATTATGACCCATGATTCTCTCATTTATGAGCGTCCATTAACCTTTGAGCCTCATTTCGAAACGCTAACCCATCTAGATAAGATTTAACACTCTTTCTATGTGTTTAGTGTGTGTGTTGGGGAACTTTGAGAATGAAGAGCTTTGAAGAAGGAGCTTTGATCAAGGGAGTGCTTGTAGATCCAAATTCCACTCATCATTTCTAGCTTCATTAAGGTATAAAGCTTGGAATTTTCTCATTGAACGCTTAGATCTAGTCTTTATGGAGTTTTGGTCACTTTTGGTCCCAAGAATGAGATCTAGTTGGAATTCTTCCAATCCAAAAGTTATAAGTTGCTTCTATTGATGTTCTGAGGTCCCTAGTCCATAAAGTTAGCATCTTGATGGTTGTGGATCAACCATGCATGTTTTTATGTCAATTTGGTGAAAGTAGAATGCTAAACCTAGGGTTTGAGTTCTTTTGAGCCACACAAAAGCTTCAAGTTAATGACTTTATTAATTAAGATGTTCTACAAGTCTTGGATATGAAGTTTGGACGTTTGGTAGCTAAGTGCTTAAATAGAAAGGTGCTTAATGGTCGTGTACTTTGTATGTACACGTTCCAAGATCCGACCACGCACGCAACCTAGTATGTTGGGCGTACGTCTGGTACGTACAGCGTACCAGACCTAGTTTTGGGCTTTGTGGTTTGGGGCATATTTGAACTATTAGGGTTTTGGGCCTTGTTGGGCTACTAGCCTTTCTGAATTTGGGCCATTGTTAGACTTTGGGCCATTATGAATTTGGTTCGATTATAGGCTTTAGGTAACTATTAGGAAATTGGGCCACTATTGGGATTTTAGTGCCATTGAGTTTGGGCCTCGAATATTGGACCAAGTGAGGAAAGGGTAAAATTGTCTTTTACCCTGGGTGTTGGACCAATGAATTAGATTCCTAGTTATGGATTATGACCCAATTATTTATTGGAGTTTTATTTGGTTGGTTAGTGTGGGGATTCTCCGGTTTATCAGCCTAAGCATCTATTTCACTGATAACATACGAAGATGAGTTTCCTCACAATACTGTAGGACATAAGGATATGCTATGTGCTAGTAGTCTTTGTGACTCATGTTGTATTTGTTGTATGTTTATGTACCTATTTGCTATATGTATGTGTGGTGAAATAGACCCGACACAGCCTTGAGTTGGCAAATGAGTTGTAAAAGACTTGGGGGTAAAATAGACTTCGCATAGCCTTGAGCTGGCAAATGAGTTGAAATAGACTCGGGGGTGAAAAAGACCCAGCACAGCCTTGAGCTGGCATATATGTATGGTGTACGGTATTTTAGGGAACCCACTAAGTTTTATGCTTACAGTTTGAAGTTTATGTTTCAGGTACTTCCGGATCGAAGGGGAAGAGCTTGGGATGACCACATCCCACACACCTGAACTTTTTCACTTATTTGACTCTGATGTGTTTTGGATAATTATGAATACATTATGATTTCCATTTAGTTTTACTAAACACGTTTGGTAATGTTTTAATTAATATAAAAATAAAAAATTTTGGTTTTGAATTTCGGGACGTTACACTATGTTACTTCAAAAAAAAACCATAGTTTCAAACCATTTAAAAACATAATGGAAGTAAGTTTTAAAAAGTAAAACACCAAAAGTAACCCCTCTTACCAAGGACAATCTCCTAAGTTTCATGCACTAGTCATATGGCACAAAAGAAAGAAGAAACAAATGTCAACCTCTACTAAGTGGGTTTAATAATGGTCGCACAAAGAAACATACAATCTGAAAGCGGGTCAATCATTCATATTACAATTCTACACATAATGATATTCAAATATCACATAAAATCAAATTCATCAGCATGGCATGTAATCAATTCCTTTATCACATAAATCATCAAATTTTTCTTTGTAATATAATTAATTAACATCAATTTCTTTTTATATTATATTACCATCAATCTCATCAAACCCAACTTCTATAGGAAAGTGTCTCTTAGTTCACCCTATCCTAAGAGGATTGCCATGTTCATTACTCGTGTACCTGGTCAGTTAAAAGCTCTAAGTGGATCTTGATTTCCACCTGAAACACTAACCCCGAATCACCACTTTTGCTACTCTAACTTGCGGGATACAAGTACTCTCTGTTGTTGATAAGGATTTAATATTGCGGTGTCGTCCATCTAAAATAACTCCCAATCCAACTTGATGCTTGATCTAGTCCCATCTACGGACCAACATCATTACAATCCTCAAACACCGTAATGCATGAGTACCGTGTTTTATAATATTTTCTAGATGGACCGCATGACTAGCCTCTAAATTGGCTTAAGCTCTTCATATATCTACTCTACTGAAAGGTCTAGTATGATCTAGAGTCATATTAAAGTGATATTAGTAATTAACATATGATACTAATGGGTCACACTAACAATAATTTGATATAATTGATTATTTATTAGAAATTGATTTTAATAAATATTCAATAATCTTATAATTGAATTGGGAATTATTTATATCTAGGAAATAATTAATTTCATTAGCAAGTAACACATTATTTCACAAAATATTATTTAAAAAGTAATGCACAAAATTTTGGACTTGGAAAGCCTTTTTTCTTTTAGCAAAAGACAAGGTTTATATCTTATAAACTTTGAGTTTATAAAATATAAACTATTCTTTTCTCTTTTCACTTTATAGTCAGCCATACTAGGGGGAAAAGAGAGACATGTTTTTCTTATTAGTTTAATCAAAATAAGTCAAAGCATGGTGCATGCATGGAACAAGCTTGTCTAAAGTACTTATTGGATAAAGACCTTTAGATTAAGTGTATGCTTTATATAGATTGCAGTCTTGCAATTTTGTACTTACTTCCTTGTTGCAAAACTGAGAGCATAAACTCCATCTCCATCTCTTCTCTATCCTTTGAAGTTCTTGAAGATTTGTTACTTGTTTTTCCTCTCTTAGGAAATATACTTGGGTATTTGTTCTAAGCTTTATATTTAAGAGTTTATGGACTAGCATCTACATCAAATTGAGTCATTATTGGTGTCTCAAAGGTTCCACATTCTTCATCAACTTCCAAGCCTCCCAAGAGGACCCAAAGAACTAAAAAGGTTGTTATTTCTTCATCTAATATAATATATCTATATAGCTTAGCTTGGAGGTTTTCTTAATCCATCTTATCCTAAAAAAAATGTGTAGAGCTTGAGATCCTCTTATGGATATAAAGCAAACATCTCAATGTTATAATCATCATTTTATGTAAAACTACAAGGTATGTTTTTATTTCAAAATGAATGGAACATGTATGTTTACTAAGAACTAGTGGGAGTATATTTATATTCCTAATCTTGTATGAATGGGACGTACTCAATCATTTGAAATCACATTCTGGCTAAGCAAGGTTGTTTTCACATTGACTCGGAAAATATTTCTAAAATAAAATACTTAGGAAAAAGAAGATACATTTTTGGAATTTAAAATCTATAATGGATAGATAAAGTAAATGTTAAAAGTTTCATGTCCTTATACATATATGGGCAATATCTTGAAAGGGATCAAGACACAAGACTCTTTTGTATACCTCTTGGCATTGTTATACGGCACCATTTTTAGCTAGCCTCAAAAGTACATAGCTCATAGGCTTGAACTAGGTGAAATGATTTATACTCTTTTTTCTTGGAAAATGAATTCATAATTTCTGCCATATTATGCATGGTACATGGTATTTGATCATGTTGTAAGCATGTCATAGGATACTAATTGAATGCATGGTTAAGTCACTAGATGATTAAGAGACAATTCTAAGAGTACTTTAGAAGAACTAAGAGAATGTGTATGATACTATCAGTTTATAACTGATCTTTATGAAAAGAGCTACACAAGATGTTAATTTCTAAACAAATATAAATACTTATGAATTATAATTGGATTTTAACTTCATTATGGAATGAAGTGTAAGTTATGTTGGAATGAAGTCCAAGAAAAAAAACAATGATACAATATACTATACAATAAGAATATACTACTTTAGAATTTGAATTCAAATATGATTGGATGAATGGGATCATTAGAAAACCATGTTGATTTCTGCCATTAAAGGATCAC